CTAACATCACTTAAGCGATTATGTACTTGAGGATTATTTAGACACAAATTAGCTTTGGTCACTTAAGCGATGTGGGCTATCGCTTAAGCGATCAAGGCTTATATATGCTGGATCGCTTAAGCGAGAGCTAACATCGCTTAAGCGATTATGTACTTGAGGATTATTTAGACACAAATTAGCTTTGGTCACTTAAGCGATGTGGGCTATCGCTTAAGCGATCAAGGCTTATATATGCTGGATCACTTAAGCGAGAGCTGCATCGCTTAAGCGATCATGTACTTAAGGATTATTTACACAAATTAGCTTGGTCGCTTAAGCGATGTAGGCTATCGCTTAAGCAATCAAGGTTTATCTATGTTGGATCGCTTAAGCGAGAGTTGACATCGTTTAAGCGATTGTGTACTTGAGGATTATTTAGACACAAATTAGCCTTGGTCGCTTAAGCGATGTGGGCTATCGCTTAAACGATCAAAGCTTATATATGCTATATCGCTTAAGCGAGAGCTGCATCGCTTGAGCAATCATGTACTTGAGGATTATTTACATAAATTAGCCTTGGTCGCTTAAGCGATATGGATTATCGCTTAAGCGATCAAGGCTTATATATACTAGATCGCTTAAGCAAGAGCTGCATCGCTTAAGCGATCTTGAATTTGAGAAGGAATAGTTAAGTACAAAGAAAATTAGCTTTGGTCGCTTAAGTAATGTCAACTCTCGCTTAAGTGATCCATGATAGATAAGCCATGATCACTTAAGCGATAGCCTACTTCGCTTAAGCGACCAAGGCCAATTTGCTTCTTTTCTCCTCAATCTTTTGATATTGTGAACGTTTGAGTGAGAAATTATATTCCGTAATGTGGGTCAGTTGTCTATTCAATCATAACCATCCATATTTGTGAAATGAGGTATGTTTCTATTAATGTGTCACACTAGTGTGCTATGACATTTCTCCATGTATCATAAGGTTTTTAATTATATATCATAGTTGTTATATTTTGATGTTGTGAACATTCGAGGTTTAAATTAACGGTAATAATCTTCTTAAATGACCTTAATATGTGTTGATGGAATTAGGTTGTTAAATAATCCTCCATAAATGGCCTTAATATGTGTTAATAACCCATGTCGCTTAAGCGATCAAGGCTAATTTGCTTCTTTTCACTCAAATCTTGTGATGTTGTGAACGTCCCAAGTTAACATTAATGTTACTTAATATGGGGTTGTCAAATAATCCATATAAAAAACAAGATCGCTTAAGCGATGCAACTCTTGCTTAAGCGATCCAATATATATAAGCCTTGATCGCTTAAGCGATGACCCACATCGCTTAAGCGACCAAGGCTAATTTGTGTAAATAATCCTCAAGTACACGATCACTTAAGCGATGCAGCTCTCGCTTAAGTGATCCAGCATATATAAGCCTTGATCACTTAAGCGATAGCCCACATCGCTTAAGCGACAAAGGCTAATTTGTGTCTAAATAATCCTCAAGTACACGATCGCTTAAGCGATGTTAGCTCTCGCTTAAGTGATCCAGTATAGATAAGCCTTGATCGCTTAAGCGATTAAGCTAATTTGTGTAAATAATCCTCAAGTACACGATCGCTTAAGCAATTCAACATATATAAGCCTTGATCGCTTAAGCGATAGCCCATATCGCTTAAGCGACCAAGGCTAATTTGTGTAAATAATCCTCAAGTACACGATCGCTTAAGCGATGTCAGTTCTCGCTTAAGCGATCCAGCATAGATAAGCCTTGATCGCTTGAGCGATAGCCACATCGCATCGCTTAAGCGACTAAGACTAATTTGTGTTTAAATAATCCTCAAGTACACGATTGCTTAAGCGATGTCAGCTCTCGCTTAAGCGATCTAACATAGATAAGTCTTGATCGCTTAAGCGATATCCCACATTGCTTAAGTGACCAAGACTAATTTGTGTCTAAATAATCCTCAAGTACACGATCGCTCTCGCTTAAGCGATGAATCTCTCGCTTAAGCGATATATCTCTCGCTTAAGCGATCTAACATAGATAAGCCTTGATCGCTTAAGCGATAGACCACATCATTTAAGCGACCAAGGCTAATATGTGTCTAAGTAATCCTCAAGTACATGATTGCTTAAACGATGTCATCTCTCGCTTAAGCGATCCAGCATAGATAAGCCTTGATCACTTAAGCGATATCTCACATTACTTAAGCGACCAAGGCTAATTTGTATCGAATAATCAATTTAAAAAACAAGTTTGCTTAAACGATCCAGTATAGATAACCCTTGATCGCTTAAGCGATAGCGTACATTACTTAAGCGACCAAGACTAATATGTGTCAAATAATCCATATAAAAAAAAAAGATCGTTTAAGCGATCCAATACTCATCACCACCTAATATCATATGTTCAAAACTTTAAACAAAAATATCCTCAATCACCAAACAATCTCATAAAGATAATCTCATAAAGTACTCATCAAAACCATTAAAATTGTGTAAAACAGGTCTATACAAGGAAATTGTGTTCTATTTATGCTTCTTCCAAGGGAGTTACCTTGTCCTTTTCATCAATATAAGTACAGACCGGTATAAGGAAATAAATTAGGGACACGAATTATGAAACCTTGAATGGATTCTATTGATTTTTGAGACAATTTCAGCTGTGAGCTCAACCTGGCATGCATTTATAACCTCCTGAAGTTGGCTTGACTTGGTAGCTCCAACTACAGCACTTGCAACAAGAGGGTGTCTCAAAACAAATGAAAGGGTTTGATTAATCATAGTACAGTGCAACAAACAACAATTCCTTTCATGCTTTAAACCTTACTGCACCAATTCAGTAATTCACACAAATACAAAGAGAAAGAGGTTATACCAATTCCCTACTGCAAATGCCTTCCTTTCTTCTCCCTTCGTTGCTTCAAACCTTACTCAATAGCAATTTCACACCCTTCTGCCAAACCTTCCATGCTTCAAACCTTACTCAACAGCAATTCCATACCCTTCCATGCCAAACCTTACTCAACGTATAACCAAGAGCACAAATAACCCAACAACAGACCCACAATGCACATAAACAAGTCACAAGCAAGAACAACAGCAATCCAATAACACAGTAACAAGAGAAAACGACTATTTCATTAAGATTCCAGAATTTACAAGATAATGAAAAAAAGTGATTAAGAAAAAAGGCAACACCCAGCTGGTCTTTTCCCTTTCTGCCCCCTTTTCCTTTCCTCCAGCACCCCCACCAAAAGCCGATCCTTGTTGGCTGCCGAAACCTCCAAATCCAATACCACCTGTAGCATAATTCTTTCTAATAATTCAGCATCAATTCTTTTATTACTGGTCATATTCAGCACCATCTGTGCAACTTCTGGAGCCTGCAAAAAAAAAAAAAAAATATATATATTAAGTAAACAATAAAGCATAAAACATTGATAACTGAAGAAATAGATTATTGTGAAGTATACTGATTTCATATTCACTAACATATCATATGATCTCATACATTAATAGTATACATTAATAAATATGTATTTTTGCATATATTTTTCAGGAAAGAAGTTACTCCAAATGGATGTATTCTCAGCCACTGGGGACCAAAAATATAAAGATCATTCACCATAAAGTCTGTGTTAAAATTATTTTCACCAGCAGCTGTTAAAAAACACACACAAATGGGTGCTCTGGACTTCGCAGATGAGAGCGGAATAGGGGGGCTCGGGGTTTGCCTGCATATTGCAGGGCTGTCTGTGCGTGGATAGTGTATTTCCTCTGATTTACAGTGTATTTTTCCTCAGCACCTGATTGCTAGTGTTAAGACTCCATTTTTTCTTCTAAATGCAACTTATGATACATGGCAGGTAAGTCCTACATCTCTACGATGCAACAAAATGAAAAACATTTCCTTTATGTTCTTCCCAAAAGCCATCCATTTGCAAAGGTTCCTGAAGATTCTTGGTTTCTTGCTGTACTCAGTAGTTCCAATTTAGACATAAACAACTTTCTTCAGATGCTCAAATTCGTTAAAATATAGTCTTAAGATGGTTCATAAAAGTTTATTGTCTTGAGCAAAGATTAACTGCTACATGGTTCCTCACAATTGGCGCATGGATGGTGGGTGATTCTGAAGCATGAAATTTCATGGCTCGTGATGCCTATAAGCTGCCTTAAAAATGGTGAGACCTGAGCACCCAGATGAAGCTATCTGAGTTCTTTTTTCCCTTCCTATTAATTAGATTCAGGTCAGCTTTGCTCCACCATTGGTTGATCCTCATGGCAATTGGCATGAATACAGAAACAACTATGCTCGTTGCACAGCATCCCAAATTGGTTTTCTGCTCGATGATTTGATCAGACGTTTTAATCTCTATTATTATAAAAAAAAAATAGGATCTCAGCCATTGTAACTTAACCGGAAATGACAAGGAATGGAAAAAAATGCAAAGAGCAAAGAAATTGAGAAATGGCAGCAAATTGGAAGAAAAAACGAGAGAGAGAGCGAGGTGTTTGAATCGTGTTTTGAGAAAGAGAAAATGAGAGAAATGTGTTTTGCCTTTCAAATGTTAAATCAACTTCTTTTTATTATACTTTAACCCTCAAACATTTAAATCTTTTCACCTTAATTATTTTTGCTGCTTTAATTACCCTTTAAGTGTGTGATGTCAGATTTAAAAAAAAAAAAAAAAAAAAATCAAAAACCTTTTCAATGTTATATTCTCAATTCGAAACTTGGGAAGGCGTATCAGTTAAATTTCCTCTAATGTTTCCAGACAATTGTGACAGCTTCCTCTAGTTGACTCACAAGCCAATTATGAGTCAACTATGGCGGCCACAACCTTTGCACACAGTCTCTCTACCGCTCATTAGTCAACCCTATTTAACTTTTAATGTTATTTTTTATTTAATTAATTATTTTAACTATCTTCTTTTCACAAATTCAGTTTCTTAATTTCTTTCTCATCCTTCTAAGCATTTTCATTTAGCATTACTACAACCAAGAAGAAATGGCGGAAGTAATTCTTTTTGATGCTGCAGGCAAAATCTTGGAAGTCTTGGGGTCGCTGGTTGCCAAAGAAATCGGTTTGGCTAGCGGCGTTAAGGATGAGATTCGCCAACTCATTGATACTGTCCGCACTGTTAAAGCTATTCTTCACGATGCCGAGGAGCAGCATAGCAAAAAGAATGAAGAGGTGACGGTTTGGCTTCAAAGGCTCAAAGATGCGCTTTATGATGCAGATGACTTGTTGGATGATTACTACACTGAATTTCAACAATTGAGAGAGGCGATGAATAGGAATACATTAGCGAAAGAGGTGCGTATTTTCTTTTCCAAATCTAATCAGATTGCATTTAGTATTAGTATGGCTCATAAAATTAAGGCTATTAAGAAAAAAACTAGAGGCGGTTTTTAATGCAAGGCCGATTTACCGCGTTGAGCAGCTTCCTGATAAAAACCGAGTGGAGAATGTAGAAAGGGAAACACACTCTTTTGTGCATGCTGATAAGGTTTTTTGGAGAGACGAGGATAAAAATAATGTGATACGACTTTTGTTGGACTCGGATGGTCGTGAAAATGTTTTGGTGATTTCCATATTTGGACTTGGGGGCTTAGGAAAGACTACACTTGCTCAACTTGTTTACAATGATCAGAATATCATAAACCATTTCAAATTAAGGATGTGGGTATGTGTGTGTGAGGACTTTAATTTGAAAATAATTATGGAAAAGATCATAAAATCTGCGACTCGTAAGGAAATTGAAAAGCTTGAAATTGATCAATTGCAAGAATGCCTTCGCAAAGAAATTAATGGGAAAAAATATTTATTAGTTTTGGATGATATATGGAATGAGAATCCTGGTATGTGGGACAAATTAAAAAATTTGTTAGTGAATGGAGCGAGAGGAAGTAAGATACTGGTGACTACACGCAGTGAACAAATTGCTAAGATTACTAGCAAATTTTCTTCATATGTCTATCCTTTGAGAGATCTAGATGAAAACAAGTCTTGGTCTTTGTTTCTGCAAATAGCCTTTGAACATGGGATAGAGCCAAAAGATTCAAAACTAGTGACGTTTGCAAGAGAGATTGTAGCAAAGTGTGGAGGAGTTCCTCTTGTCATAATAACAATAGGACACTTACTCTATGGAAATAATAACAGAGATCATTGGCTGCATTTCAGGGATAATAAAATGATGAGTATAATTAAAAACGAAAGCGACATTTTACCTATATTGAAGCTTAGTTATGATCATCTTCCTTTACATTTGAAACAATGTTTCATCTATTGTGCATTGTTTCCCAAAGGTTACAAGATTGAGAAGCAAAAGTTGATTTACCTTTGGATGGCCCAAGGTTTTCTTCAAGCATCAAATGAGAACCAATATTTAGAAGATGTGGGTCATAAGTATTTTATTAATTTACTTTCAAGGTCGTTTTTCCAAGATCCAAAATATGATAAATTGGACAATGTAGTTGCATGCAAAATGCATGATCTTATCCATGACCTCGCTCAATCAATCGCGGGGTTTGAATGCATTGTGGCAACTTTAGACACAACCAACTGATTTGATAAAAGATGTCATCATGTTTCACTTCATAGTACAGTAGATTCATCATGGAAATTTCAAACTGTATTGCATGGTGTAACACATGTAAGAACTTTACTTTTATTTGAATCAAATGCTTTTCTTGAACTTGATGGTGATTTTGAATTCTCATCAAGTTCTATATCCTTGCGCACTTTGGATTTTGGAGAGTTGGAGTTTAAGAAGTTGCCAAGATCGATTGATAAATTGAAGCATCTACGATATCTCAATATTTCTTATAATGGTTATATTGTAGCACTTCCTAATTCAATGTCGAGACTGTGGAATTTAGAAACATTAGACCTCTCTAACTGTTTAGAGCTTAAGGAACTACCAAGAGATATTAGAAAACTGGTGAACCTTAGGCATCTTATAAATGAAGAATGTGATTCTTTAGTTGGAATGCCATATGGACTAGGGCTTTTGACTAATCTTCTGACTCTATCACTGTTTGTGGTAAGCAAGGGAAATAGCTCTAGCAGTAGAAAAAGAAAAAATGGTGGGATAGAGGAATTAAATGGGTTGAACAACTTGAGGGGAGAACTAAAAATTAAGAATTTAAAATACGTGGAAAATAGCAGCTTGGCCAACTTAAAAGAGAAGCAATTTCTTCGGTCTCTAATATTGAATTGGGGGAGAAGTGACGGTGAAGAAGTTGAGGAGAATGATGAAGTTGTGTTAGTAGGTCTAGAGCCAAACCCAAATCTGAAAGAAATTACTATAAGTTCTTTTCTAGGGGTGAAGATGTGTAATTGGCTTTCCTTCCTCCCAGATCTAACTTCAATTAGTATAGACAAATGTAAGAAATGCCAATATATTCCAATGTTGGATCAATTACCTTACTTGAAGAGTTTGTCTCTTAGATTTCTGTATGATCTAGAATACATTTCACAGGAACCAAGTAACAATTATTCTTCCACACCATCAACAACATTCTTTCCATCACTTGAGGAACTCACACTCTATCATTGTCCTAAATTAGAGGAATGGTGGAGGATAGATGATGATGATCGAGTAGGGTTGCCTTCATTTCCTTGTCTTTCCAAATTACGTATCGAGTATTGCCCTAACTTGATGTCCATGCCACTATATCCATCTATAGAAGAACTGACATTGAGTAGGACTAGCTCAAAACCGCTGGGACAGACAATGATGTTGATGAATAGAGTGGATCCTTCAACTTCCTTCAACTCTTCTGCCCCCCTCTCCACATTAAGTTTTATGGATATTTCTGCAATTCCAGATTTAGAATCTTTACCAGTTGAAGGGATGCGAAACCTCACTTCTCTAATGGATTTGACAATTTGGTCATGTCCAAGACTAACTCAAGTGCATCATGGTATAAGACTTGACTTGCTCATGGATGACATGCAATCACAAAGTCTCAGAAACCTCTATTCTTTAAAGCTTTATAGCCTTCCCAAATTGGCATCTCTCCCAAAGGGGCTTCGATATCTTACCTCTCTACAGGATTTGACTGTTAATGAGTGTTACCAACTTGAATTGCCTGAAAATGAGGATGAAGATGACATGCCATGGAAAGGCTTTAGGAGCCTCAATTCTTTAGAACTTTCTGGACTTCCAAAATTGGTGTCTCTTCCAAAGGGGCTTCAATATCTTACCTCTCTCTAGCATTTGTTTATTGATGGGTGTGGCCAGCTAGAATTTCCCAACAATGAAGATGAAGATGAAGATGACATGCCATGGCAAGGCCTTAAGAGCTTACATTCTTTACAACTTTATAGCCTTCCAAAACTGGTGTCTCTCCCAAAGGGGCTTCAATATGTTACCACTCTACAAGATCTGGATATTGAAAAGTGTCATAATTTAACGGATCTACTGGAGTGGATATCCAATGTAACTTCACTTTCAAGGCTGATTATCTACAAATGTCCCAAATCGTCAACAAAATGCAAAAATAAGATGGGAGTGGATTGGCCAAAGATTGCTCACATCCCTAATATTAGAATCGATTATGAATGGGTTCAAGAGAAAGGTTGCTATCAATTGAATTAAGAGGTTGATTCTTATTCTTCATCAGGTTGATACTTCTCTTTAAATTTATAAATCAACATTTCCAATTGTGTTTGACTTTTATCTTATTTCTTTTATGAGTCAAAGATTGCCCTTTTCATTATACTTACTAATTTCTTTCATTAATGAACCGTGTTTTGGGAGCAAATGGTTTGGAATTTGTAATTAATTGGATGGTAGTTATCTTACTCGTTCATTAGTTTCCCTCTAATTCTTTCACATTTGCAATCGTCTAATACAAAATGTAATATTCATATAGCATCATATGTTTAATTGACATAAATCTGTTTCAATATTGACTCTGGAAAATATCTCGATTCGAAATGTAATCTATTGCAGCATCAACCTTCTTCTTGTTTGGGTTTCTTAGAATCTAATAAAATTCAAGTCAGACAACAACATAACTTTTACTTTCCTCTTATTTCCTGAATTTCCATAATTGCTTGAAGGCTTGTAAGATCCCAAACATATTTTATTGGGAAGTTAATCAATCAAATTTCTAATTTTGTTTTTATTTTTTTATAACTTCATTGTTTTCCTCTCAGGGTTTCTAAAGTTGTGAATATGTCTGTGATACAACTGTGCACCAATCAGTCAATTATGCAAATAATTGACTGTAATTTATGCATTTATATTTCATTTGTATTCTTTTTGAACTTTATGATATATGAAATCTGAATATTGACACTTCTTTTATTTGAATTGCAGTCAACTATTTGTTTCTATCTTCAATGGTCAGTGAAGCTTGCGATACATTGATGCTTATACATGTCTCAGAATTTGTTGAATTGTGGTTCACACCAATTTTTTTGAACAATAAAACTGCTCAATGAGTGTTCAAATACTCAATGGTAATTATATCATTTATATTTGCCTGCATTTATATCCTTGCACTTTTATTCTAGATGAACAAAAATTTTGCCTTCTCAATCAGCATTATTCTTATTCATCCCTTCTCTTTAAATTGTCTAATGTTTCAGTTGCTGTCCTGTAGGCATTGTGATGGAAGAACCTCTTACTAAATCAAGACAACATTACAGTTGTTATATCCACAGTTCTTTGCTGATACTTTTGGCTTTTTAGCCCTGTTCTTCATAGATATGGGTATTTACCTTAGTTTGCTTTGATATTTTCAGAAAACAAGTTGTGAACCTGTTATTTTCTGGAATAAAGATAAAAAATTTATGTTTCAGTTTTGTCTGCCTACTACTGCCTATTTGATAAGTTAAGGAGTAATTAGATGAGTTTTTGTATACGTACATGCCTTGCTCATCATCTGAACTCTCAATGATTTTTCATGGGTGCAGAGTCTGGAGTTCTAGACTTAGAGATGCTTTTGATCCTACTGAGTGTGGGGAAGGTTAAGACTTAAGTTTAGCAAACATTGAAGAATATGCATTAGCAGTTGAAGTTCATGGATTATGAGTCAGTGAGAAACAATAAGAATACGCTTCAAAGCGCTAAGGAGGTTCAGGTAAGATTGAACACTTGGCTGTTTGAATCAAACAATTCATCATGAATGTTGGGCTCTTTCTTCTACCAAATATTTGTTGTTTATTTATGCTCATACAGCTAAGCAAATTCAAATTTGCACACCTCATTCTTGGTGATTTGAATTGTAGAATACTTGTGAAATTGTAGAATACTTCTTAATGTTTCTTATGTGCTTGGAATGATTGATTTCTCTTTTTATCCCCCTAAAATTAGAGTTGGTTCCTGTATCATTTGGCTCAGAAGAGGAATCTGGGCAAACAGTAGAAGTATGTGGGAAAGAGATTCTGGTGCATGGTCTTTCTGACAGGGAAAATGTCCTTGCTTCTGTCATTGATAAATATCCAAATATGATCGTGGTGGACTACACTGTGTCCAGTGCAGTGAATGGTAACCAATAATGATTCTGGTTATTTGAAAAAGATGAAAAATGTTGAAAGTTGGATGTTTAGCAGAAGAAAGACTAGATTTAGTAGTTTATTTCCATAAAATGGGCTAAGTTATTGGATTCAATTGAAGTTGTAAATTGCAAGTGTTTGTAGAAACCATTTGGAAATGACAAAAAAAGGGAAAGGAATATGATTTTATCTTATAAACGGGGCCAATTGAGTCTCCTTTCTCCTCTTAACTATCTTTAGGTTTGACTTAATTGCTCAAATTATAAGTTTTCTTTACGGTCTGTCAGTAGTCTGAGGACCATTGATCTTGTTTGTTATTATTCATTAGACCAGCTTAGTTCAATACATATTGTTTGTTCAATTCAGCCTTCATTTGATTGTTTACATACAACATTTTGTTGCATAGAAGGTTCTCTATTTTTAGTTTGATTACTTGTGGCTCTTTTGGCAAAATGGAGATAACGCAGAGCTTTATTGCAAAGTTGGAGTGCCCTTTGTTATGGGAAGCACAGGTGGAGATAGGGATAAGTTGTATAAGACTGTAGAAAACCCAAAGGTCTATGCTGTGATCTCATCACAAATGGGATAACAGATAATGTGGCTTCTACTCGTCTAATAAAATGTAAATACTTGAATGCTCTGTGATTAATTGTATTCAATTTCCTAATACTTTTTTGCTTTGGTAGGTTGTCGCATTCCTTGCAGCTATAGAAATAATGGCCGAGCAATTTCCTGGAGCCTTTTCTGGGTAGTTAGTTCATGTACTTTGTTTCTGAATTAAATAGGATTGAACAGCTTTAATATCTTTCTTCAATCTTCATTGTGATTGCACATGTTGTAAGGAGTAAAGATTAGTGTAAAAGTGAAATGTTTATATTAAGTGGTAATCTTATGCTGATTATTTATTAAATGACATTGTATCTATCATCTTTTTAGGTGGGACCATATTCCTTAGCAAACCTCTGCCCCTTAGCTGCAGACGCTTTCACACATTGCATCCATTTACAAACTTAGATTTCTAAACTCAACTGTTTTTTTTTATCATATTTTGTCATTTAAACCAAATGAGCTTAACAAAATCAATGGATGCTTTAATTTCATTAAGTTTTATCTTGATGTAATGATGCTCTTAGCTGATGCATTATTGTATAGGGTGTTGGAATCCCATCAAACAAGCAAAGTGGACACATCTGGAACTGCCAAGGCCGTTATTTCATGCTTTCAGAAATTGGGGGTGCCTTTTTTATAATATGGATCAGGTTGTTGAATGACCTCTGAGGTCTTAGCTTGACTTAATATTTTATAGTTTCTAGGTTTTACTTTTTACAAGTTATGTACTGTAATGATTTATTGATATAGAATGGTCACCTTGGAAGGATATTTCAATTTATGTCTAACAAGGATATTTCACCATTTATCTTTATAGCCGTGTTTTCCACAATGTTTATCTAGTGTACATGCATATGGATGGGTGTCTACTCTGAGCTAAAGGAAGACAAATTAGTAATGTTGACATTCTGTTGATTGGATTATTGAATTCTCAGAATGCTATTGTCCAGGCAGATCTGGTTACTTCCATTTACTAGCCTGAATGTTATTTTATTGACCATGAATCTTTACTTTTGTTGGCTTTCTTAGTCCGTCATCTTATTGAACTTTTATTAGATACAAATGATCTGGGATTTCAAGCAACAAATTGAGATGGTGGGAGTTCCAGAGGAGCGTTTGGCTGGTCATGCTTTCCATATGTATCACCTCACCTCACCCGACCCGACCAAACGTACTAACAAGCATCCTTCTCTTTTTCTTTTCTTTTTATCGGCCAGGTATATAAATTCATCACTCTGATCTTAACTGAGCATCAGCTGACTATTTCTCCTCTCTTTTGCAGAGTTTCTTTCGAGTTTCAGCATCATGTTTGTGGTAGATCAATATATGCCGAGGATACTATTGGTGCTGTAATTTTCCTTTCTGAAAAGGTACTAATACTTTCATTCATTGCCTATTTTATACTAGATTTTCTTTCACATGATATTACGTATACATTATAACATATTTTTATTCTTTGATAAAACATATGAATCAAAATTTCTTATAAAGATCGGTGTTCCTAATTTTCGACCAGTATGATCTTGAGTTTTTAAGGATGGATTAGTATGATGATGCCGTAATTACTACTTTGATTTTTAATCGTCATATAAAATCAGGTTCAGCCGCAGGCTGCAAGCAGCAGGAGGGAAACATGTGATAAAAAATTTGTTTTCATTTGTTTGTATTAGTATATAATTCAGCTCAAGATGCCTAGAAATATTATGGACATATTGAAGGGGATTTTGAATAAATGTTTTGCCCTTGAAAGTACATTTTTTATTATTATTGTTCTTGTTGTTGTCATTGTTATATTATTCATTTATTTATTTTAGCATATCAGGACGTATGAATTATGTATTACATAAGGTATTGGGAAGTATTGGAATTTCATTTGTCTAGGGTCAAGTTTAGCATTTAAAAGAATGAACCACATTTTAAGGGAATAGGCCTCATTGTTTGGTGTCCTTTCACTGTCCTCTTGCTTTTTAACATTGATATTAAAAGGATTTTAAATAATAATTGCCTTATTATCTCAATGATGTGAAGAATTTCCAATGAAGATTTTAAGCAGTTCGCTATGATATGGAAGGCTTCCTTTTCCCCTAAAATTAAATTCCA